GGCGATACTGGGAGCGTAGAGGGAGGGTGAGTTGGAAAGGGGAAACTGATTACAAGGATCTACATGTGACCTCCTCCTTGGGGGACGGACAACAGAAAAGTGGGTGAAGTGCCAGAAGAAACCAGCTCCTAACACAATCACTACGGGTTCGGTAGGCGCAATTGTACAGCGATAGTAAGTAAATAGTAAAGTTGTAGAGAGCATGAGAGATAAAAGAGATAGATAGAAATAAATGGAGTCAGACACATTACATGGTAGCATTGCTCACCTCAGCCCCGCTTGGTAGTCCACGTAGAGGGAGGGGAAAGGGAAGGAGGGCAAGGGAACAAGGGAGAGGGGGAAGAGAGGGGAGTGACCAGGAAGTCAGCAGCAAGGAGAGATCAGGGGGAGTCAGAGTCAGAGAGCTCTATATTGCTAACTCACACCTATATACCTTTTGGGGGCAAGCCAGCCCACTAATTACAGGTAGAGACATACGTCACAGGGAGGGGCTGAACTATAGGTTACACAGCAATGAGGGAGTGGTCTCTGGAAGTTACACAGAAATCAGTTACATTCCAATCACATTACAGCATTAACAAGTCCAAAGTCTTGATCTTTCAGCAAAGCAACAGTCTGTAGTAATAGTCCAGTCACTGTTGTATAAAATGTTCAGCTTTGATAGAGTCTCAGAGTTTCTCTTAGACGGGATCCGCAATGGAAGTCTCAGTAGTCAGTGATCGCCATTCTCAGGAATCTGCGAGGTCTTCTCGATGTTTTGGATAACTTCAATAACAGGACAGGGTCACGTCACAGCATGGGCATCCCTCCTTTCTTCTGGGCCTTGCTGGCTGTAGAGAAATTCACCTATCTCCTTTGCCTGTGAAAATATAAACAAATAGCCCCTCTCTTCGGGGTGTCATTAACCTGCAAAGGGAATTATGATTAAGATTGGGTGGCTTCTCCATCTCTTCCTTGTCCATATTTCTCCAAACGTGGCTGCGTCCTTCTAAAGGGAGTCCATCAGCTTTATTCTGCAAAAATATAAATGCATAGCCCTTTTCCAGGTGAGTGGACCTGGATCCCAAACGTGATTTCCATCTTCTTGGGACTTCTTAGGATTAGCTTTCTCTGTAGAATTGAAAATGTGTTTATCTTGCCTAATTTTATTACAAGCTTTTAGTAAGGAGAGAAATTTTTGGGTTAAATTGACCAAATGAAATTCATCATACATAAGATTCCTCTTCTCCCCCTTCTGTTTTAACGATGCAGATATTAAAGCACTGCTAGCAGTCTCAGTTACCTTGCTTGGTCTTGAACCATGAAAACTACTAGTTAGATAGCCATCATTGTTATGTAAATTTAGACTGCCAGTTCTCAGAGAATTTGGAGAGCTAAAATGTAAATTTTGGCTCTTGGCTGTCAGAGAATTAAGAAAGCTGACTAACTGGGAGAACTTCTTACCATACTTTGAAAGATTGAAAAAAATCTTAATAAATTTGTTCAGCTGTTCTTGAAGGAACTTACCAAACAGACATTTTTTCTCCAAGTTTACCAATAAGGTTATAGGCTCAATTAAGCCGTTTGCCTTCCAGGCTTCTCACACTGTATGATTTTACAATCTTGAAACAGTCTCTCTTGGTTAACTTCACTCATTCCTTCCAAGCTGGATTTGGGGGAAGTTAATGGGAGGGTCTCGGGCCCTTTTGAATGCCCCAAAGCAATGACTTCATATCCAGAGCTTTTAAAAAACTTTTTCTCTTCAATTTCTAATTCCATGTGGGGGCGCTGCTGTTTCCCCACAACAGCATTCCAAAAGACCCCTT